TTTTTCTACTTCTTAATAGCTTGACAAAACAATTACATATATGCAGTCATGATTCATCTAATATGCATTAAAGAAAAAATAACAATGATAACTACTGTATGCCTGCTCAAGAATTTTCATTCTAGAAATTTCATGTTTCGAATGTTGGATGCTAGACCAGAATTCTATAATACGATGAAACTTCAAAAGATCACTTCTTAATATATGAAATAAAACAAAGAGCATCATCTTTTTATCCAGAACTTGTGTAAACTTCTGTTACACAAGTTCTGAATATATCACAAAAACTATCCGTGAAAATGTTTCAAAATTTAGGAAACGAAAAATGAAAATTTCATTTTATAGAAATTCTTTTGTTCACACAACAATGATCAATAGGAAAAATGCATTAAAAAGCATTCAAACACTTAAAAATATAAGGTGTTAACACAAATCTAATATCAAGTAACAACTCTAACTTGGAATGGTAAAATCATGCAGAAATTTACATTCTTTTAGCACACATTCAAAGTAAAAAAAAAGGCATCTATGGGGGCCTAAGTGTCATCAAGAATGTTTTGTAAAGCAAGGACAAGGAACTTAGAGAAGCAAGGCTTAAGAACTTTAGTCAACCAGGAAGTATATATCACCATCTTTTTCATAAGAGAACCCGCGGCAGATAGAAACTTTATAGTTTTTTGTTTCCTTCAAGCCATCAAATGCACTACGCCGATTGTCTCGTTCATCCTCTTCAACCATACCGAGACCGGCGCAGATCGCAGATAAGCCTTCCATGTCCATCTTTACTTGTGAACAACTGTTAAGGTTCTGGAAGAAGTGAGAACCGATTGGCTATACTCGGAGATGTGGAGAAAGCAGATCTGAGGTGAGAATGTAACGAAAGTGGAGTTATGGCTCTCGTAGCGCCAATTTAATTGATGGAGACAAAGGTACGTCAATTTGCTGAGGGAACCAATTTGATTGAATGTAGATGTTTTCACATTAAAGTAGGATGTTGCAAAAATTCTGTCAAGCGGTTCTTCAAAGAGTATTTCAAACAATTTGTTTAACTAAAAAAGATTTTTCATTAAAAAAAAAAAAAAAAAAATATATATATATCTATATATATAAAATAAATACAAAACTCTGCTACAATAACGTATTTTGAAGAGTAATTACTGGAATTCATTGATATTATAAGATGGTAACATTCTCTTCATTTTCTTTATTTTCCATAACAAACGAGTCTTAACTTTATATAATATGAAATACATAATTAGCTGGAGAGAATGTCATCCCAGAGACATAATAGCTGCTGCCAGAGACTGGGAAAAGAAAAAAAAAATGCATTACTATGAGAAATAACATTCAACCGAAAGGAAAACAAAAACTAAACATATATTTTTTACTAAATATAATTTTTATATCCAAATATATTCATATTATATTACTCTTCTAATTATTTTGTACCCTAAAAATTTATATAAGAAAATACAGTATTATTCGTATATTCATGTATAACTTTTACGATAAAAAACAGAATATTTAATCTTAACTTTTGAAACAACACTAAACATATTTGAGGAAGCTTATTCTCACAATATGGACCATAATAAACACATATAATACAAAAGATATTTCAAAATTTATTTGAAAGTGCTCTTCACATTGATGTTAAAAACATTCTCGTAAAATAATTAGTTAAATTGATCTACTTGAATTATTGCGTGTTTAGAGAAGGTGACAAAAATTTACTTCCATAAATTCCCTATCCAAATCACAAATTTAAAAGCAAATTATGGATAATGTTAAACATAATAACTGGTTGTTGGCACCCACTAACTAGTACTGAAAGGAGCATTACCATTTAGTTATTAAACCACTGCTTCAGTTTGGCGAAATTTATCATTGTTGCCACGTAGATCCTATCTCTGGTATTAGCCAAGAAATTGAAGTAGGCATGTCTCCTTGACTGACTAAGCACCAGAGTGCCACAAACACCCCAAAACCCTGCAATGAAACCAAGGGTCAAACTTATGTAAAAGCCAAGGGTTATGAACTCATCTTCTGGAATGTCGGTGTCCTCTTTGCCTCTAGTAGTAGTTGGACCTTGGGCTGGTTCTTCTCCAGGACATTTATTTGGAAGTGGGAGGCCACACAGTCCGGGATTCCCCGCATACATTGCGGCATTGAAGCTCTGGAGTTGAGTGCCTGTTGGAATTTTTCCCCACAAGTTGTTGTTTGACAAGTCCATAACACTTAGGCGATCTATTAGAGAAAGGCTTGACGGAATTTCACCAGAAAATTGGTTTCTTGATAGATCAAGGAAATCCAATAATTTTAACTGACCAATCTTCGAAGGGACTACTCCACTAAAATTGTTTCTTGAAAGATTCAAAACAGTCAATCCTACTAGACTCATAATCTCTTCAGGAACTGCTCCATCCAATTTATTAACGGAAAGGTCGAGGCTCTTGACTAACCCCAAAGTGTTTTGGTGTTAGAATTTGAGGTGGGCCTAACTCCTCACCCAATAAGGCCTTATTGAATGGGAGGATTACCCCCTCTTATAACCCAATAGGCTTGAGCGTGCCTAGTCGGTGTGAGACTCCAATACTACCCCTCACGGTCAAGCCCATATGTTGGGTCATGCCTGTTGATGGAGGTAGTTGTTGGCTCTAACTCCTTACCCGCTGGTCAAGCGCTTAACTCAACTGAACCTGGGCTCTGATACCATGATAGAATTTGAGGTGGGCCTAACTCCTCACCCAATAAGGTCTTATTGAATGAGAGGATTACTCCCTCTTATAACCCAATAGGCTTGAGCGTGCCTAGTCGGTGTGAGACTCCAATACTACCCCTCACGGTCAAGCCTATATGTTGGGTCATGCCTGTTATTGGAGGCGACAGGATTGACGAGAGAAAGTCATCGAGACTCCAACCAAAGGTGGAGATGAAACTTGGGCCCTATCAGAACCAAACTATCCTCGACCCGACTCATGCCAAGCGCCTCAAGAGAGAGGTAGGCAAGATGACCATGACGACAAAGGTGTCATCGAATTTGGGTGGGAGAGAGTGTCACACCGAGTGCCCGAAGCAGAAGAAGGTAGGCAGGGTGGTCAACTCCAAAATTCTCACATCAGGCAGGAATGAGGTTCTTGAGAAGATGAACCTGAGGAAGAAAAGGAGAGACTCTAACACGGGTTAGAGAAAAGAAGCTAGCACTAAGGGTGGTAGGCTGAAGAAGAAGAAGCCAACACTAAGGGTGGAAGGCTAAAGTTGTAGAAGAAAGGAGGAGTAAGAGCATGAAGAACAAGCTGAGAAGATGAATTACCAAAAAGAATCAAGGAGGAGTGTTGGAATATGAACACTTTTTGGTAATTGATGAAGAAAAGACAATCAAGAAGGAAAGGCAAGTAAGAAGAAAAGGCAAACAAGAAGAAAATGAATTTAAGTTTTGGGCAAATTTCTAGTTTAGGAATTTGTAATTGAAGAATATTTGTTTTCCTTTTACTTTGAGTTTCACTAGGAAAGAAGAATTGGTTTAGGGTTTTATTCAAGTTAAAATAGGAGAATGATTTAAATTATAAGAGTTCTATTAGGAATAGGAATATGAATCCTAGTAGAATAAGAATGTCTTATTTTACTTATAAATAAGGGAGTTAGAACCAATTCAAGGTAATGAGAGAGGAATAAGAGAAAGAGAGAATTTGAGGATACAAGGGGTTTTGAGGTAAGGGTACTACAGGTATCGAGTAAATACCAAAGGGTATTAAACACCATAAGAACGGGATGTCCGCCTAAGTAAAGGTACTAGGTTGATGATGCGATAAAACACTTGTATCGTATTCATATTATTATAGTGAAAACCCTCTCATCCGTGGATGTAGACAAGTTATGCCGAATCACGTAAAATATCGTGTGCCTTTTTTATATTGTTATTGCTGTTCTTTATTTTTATGTTTTACTCCTTCGATTTTTAACATTTTGTACATGTATTCACCTCCTTTCCATGTTAACCATAAACTGACAAGAGATTTACCTGTTAATGGAGAACTTCCAGTAGTGAGCGTGGGTATATATTGGCAGGTGATAGAGGCAGTGGAGCTCCTCTCTTGAGACAAAGCTGTAAAATTTTTAACACACTTTGGTGTAGTTCCAGTAATATTGTTTAAGGAAAGGTCCAAGATCTAAATGTTTACAAGACGACATAATTGGAAAGGTATATTTCCATGGAATTTGTTAGACTGCAAACTAAGAATAACCAAATTTGGTAAACTCTCTCCTATCCAATCTGGTATCTTTCCTGATAATGCATTTTTCTGNCTCTCTCTCCTGTAAAGACATTTTACTTTTCCAACTCTTTTGTAAGTCAGTCCGCAGTTGCGACCTGACCCACACTAATATCAATACAAATCAGTAGACGTAGGACTTGCTACCTTAGCATCCGAACCACTTAAAAAACTCCATTTGCATTTATTTTCGCTCCATATATTCCATTTTCACGTGTATTTAACAGCCAATCAACGTTACGCACGTGAGAATTCGTTGGTGCTTAAACCGAGCATCAACAGTAGGTGATAGAGGCAGTGGAGCTCCTTTCTTGAGACAAAGCTGTAAAATTTTTGACACAGTTTGGTATAGTTCCAGTAATATTGTTTAAGGAAAGGTCCAAGATCTGAATGTTTACAAGACGACATAATTGGAAAGGTATATTTCCATGGAATTTGTTAGACTGCAAACTAAGAATAACCAAATTTGGTAAGCTCTCTCCTATCCAATCTGGTATCTTTCCTGATAATGCATTTTTGTGAAGATCTATAACTGCCAATTGTGTGCAATTCCTAAAAAATGGAAACTCTCCGGAGAAGCTATTGTTGCTTAAACTCAATGCTTGAATATTACGTAGAGAGCAAAATGAGTGGGGAATTGTCCCGGAGAGGCCATTGTTTGCCAAATTAAGAGCAACCAAATTTTCAAATTTTATCCAACAATCTGGAAGCGTTCCTGATAGTTGGTTACTAGAAACTAGAAAGGTCAAGATGGGATACTCCTGGGACACAAACAGAACATATGAAAGAAATTGGTCCCGAAAACTTATTTCCAGAAAGATCAATATAAGATATACATGAAGGAAGCGATAAAAGTGGACCCTCAAGATGGTTTGAACTGAAATCTACTCCGGCAAAACTAAACCGAGTAAATGAAGAGAAATCTGGAAGATTACCCTTGATTTGGTTGTGAGAGATATTAAAATGGACAAAGTTACGGTATATATCCCAAAACCAATCAGGAATAGTATCTGAGATTTCAGCATTGGAGATATCAAGCACAGCAATAAATTCCTGAGTTCGAAGCCATTTTGGAAAATGAGGCCCCATCTTGCAAGAGGCAAGTAATGCACTGGACAGGTGAAAAGGAGGAACCCAGTCATTGCTAAATTCCAAAGCAAGAGAGTTATGAGATAAGTCCAAATCCTTTAATTTGGTAAGATTTAAGAAAAAGTCTTCATAAATAACACCTTGCAATGAATTTCCGTGAAGATCCAATCTCTCAAGCTCGGACATATGTCCAATGCTTTTGGTTATGGTTCCATTTAAATGATTTTCTCCAAGTCGCAAGTCTTTTAAGGGTGAAAATCTTGTAAATTCAGGCACTGACCCTATAAATTTATTGGAAGACAAGTCTAGTGTAAGTAAGCTAGACATACTCCCAAGGGATTTTGGAATCACACCTTCAAGGTCATTGGACTTGAGAGAAAAACGACTAAGAGAAATCATGTGTCCGAAAGCATCAGGAAGCAATCCTTGTAAATGATTAGAATCAAGGACAAGATCAACAAGATTGCTACTAATATTGAACAACCAAGAGTATATCGCAGAACCGATATTGTTATGAGAGAGATCAAGGCTCGCAAGAAATGTAGTAGAATTGACGTCGTCTGAGGGAGATGACGGAGAGATAGGTGGAAGATTACACCCATTTAGCTTCAAGTCTGTTAAGAAAGGGAGCTTCTTAACTACTTGAAACCAACCATTTGATTTACTAAGATCGATGACACTCAAATTAAGATATCTTAAAGAAGAAAGATGAGAGAGCCAGTCAAGATTTCCAACACTAAATAAGTTATCATTTCCGCTCAAGTCAAGAAATTGCAAACTTGAAAGATTTCCGAGCTGATGAGGAATCGGTCCAGCAAATTGAGCATAAGAGAGAGAGAGGTAGCTCAATTTGCTGAGGGAACCAATGAACTCAGGGATTGGACTTTCACCAAAATTATTGTAGCTGAGGTCCAAATATTTCAAATGATTCAATTTCAGCAAAGAAGCATTAATTATATACCTTTCAATGGCAGGCTTAAGTTCAACTCACTAAGATCAAGTCCTTCCACATGGCCCGTTTGACTACAATAGAGTCCTCTCCATTCGCAACAATTTCTTTTATCATTTTCACCTCCCCAGGAAGAGAGACGGCCAGATTCGTCCACCGCCAGGCCTTGTTTGAAAACGAGTAGCGCTTCTCTTTCCTCTTCTATGCACCTTATAGTGTCAGAATCCGCAACTCTTTGCTGCAAAACGAACAGAATCGAAACAGCTAGAACTAGATGTTGAAGGAACCTTCCACTAAAGATTGTCATCATCATCAAGCAGCGATGGAACTACCTGACAATGAGCTATATTTCTGAAAATGAACCCAGAGCCCACGCATACCGACTGTTTATATAATCTAAATTGTTATTACCATTAGTGGTTTCCATTAACAAAGTCTTCGGTCAGGTCAATAGACCTTTGGAAAATTAATTTGCTACTCTTTTTAGCTTCACTTTTTTTCTAATTAACCGTCTTGTGCACGTACAGATTCACGATACATTGCAATTCCAAGCTCAACGGATTCCTCTTGCAATCTGGCAATTTTCATTTGTATAATCGTACTGTATGAAATGATATCAAATTCATTCTCATATATGGTTTTTGGATGAGTTAACTAATACCTATATTATGCAGGATATATGTACTATAGTCTGCTCTATTTTTTCTCAATTTTTTCGCTTTTCATTGTAAATAAAGGCATAGACATTTGTGTCATACTGATTATCCTTTGTGTTCGTGACAAAAGCCTTTTGAGTTGAGCAGCATAATTTCTTTCCGCTAAGAAAAATGTAAAGAAAAATAAAACAGAGACGAATTAGTTAACAAAGTTTAGAGAGAATTATTCTTAAATATTGATGATATTTTAATTCTTAATAGCTTAACGTGTGATTAATCTGATTACTTACAGCTTTTGCAGTTAATGAGTTTATAAATAAAATCCTCCAGGTCAACCTTGCGAGGAGTCTATCCTCTGCTTTACACAGCACAATTCAAGGCGTGATGTGCTTTGTGGTGGTCAGTTTCAGTAGCATTCAATGTAGGGTTTCCAGAACGTAGGACTTAATTTCAAATTGAATGGCGTACAGTTTGAGCCTTCACTTTGAAAGGAAATAGTGCACTACTAAAATATCTCATACGTGAAAGAATATATGAGGACCAAAATCTTGAGCAAATATGTGCAGTATAACTCCAAATTCAGTCGTTAAAATTGAAAACCAACCATCCAAATTGAAGAGCCAAACGTCCTCTACATTCTAACAAACAATCAGGTTGATCAGACTAGAGATAACCTTCCGATCGTCAGGTTGAAGGACGTATAAACTGAAAATTCCGTAACTCAATACTTTGACTTGACTGTCTTTATAAAAGCAAAACTCCACAAAAAGATAGCTATCATGAAACTGACCGTTAGATGTGAAGATCTTGCCACCAACAACAACAACGCCCTAAAATTTGAGCAAAAATAGAACAAGATTCACCTGGTGTGACTACCATCCTTCCACATATTTTTAATCTATGAAAAGTACCCACGTTTTTTTACTGTTCACCCACTCTTAGAAAAACTAAAACAAGCCGTACCTTTTTTTTTTCATTCATTTTTTTTCTTTTTTATCTTTGGGCTTTAGGATTTTGGGCCATCCTGCATGTAAGGAAACCCAAGCCCAATAGACTTTAGTCTCCCATGCGGTTTTATGTTACATTATTTTCTTTTCTTCCCTTTTAAAATGTGACTTTTTGGTATGATAATAAACACATTTATGTACCATAACAATTAATGTTTGCTCCGGAGTTTTTGAGTATCCAAAGATTATATACGTAATGATATTTCTTTTATTTCCACATCAACATAATTTTGAAAATTAAATACTCTCGGTAATGTGCAATTCCTCAAAAATGGCAACTCTCCAGAAAAGATATTATTACTGGTGACTCAAGGAGTCATCATGCTAACAAGCTAATATGTCCATAAGCATGTTTGTTAATGACTTTTGTTCAAGTGTGGACTTAAATGGCAAGGAAATTTCCGAATGCATTCAAAGGTTCATGAAGAAGGGAAAAAGGCAAAGCTTAGATAAAGAATTTGGAGGAATTCAAGAAAGCTTCTGATTTTATATGTTAAGCATGAGTCTTGGTTAGAAAAATTCCTTTGCATAAGAAAGCTCTCAAAAAGTTGATTTTGGGATTTTTGAATTGAGGCCTAAATGTCATTTTTCAACAAGGAATTAATTTTTTTTTGCCAAGTTTTAGATCTTCATAGTTTAATTAACCCATTAGATCAATCGATAGGCATGGCAATGGGCCCTAAAATTCTGGGGCCCGTCTCTACCTATCCTGTATGGGGCAGAGATTCCTTGGTTTTTTTTTGGGATAGGGGTAGGGACACGAGGAGTTTTAATCCCCATCCTTGAGGATGGAGCGAGGGTGGGGGTTGCCTTTCCACTACCCCATCCTATATATATATATATATTAAACCCTTGGATTATAGTGGATGTTGTGTGTGATTTTTACCATAAGAGTTTGCAGATCTCGGAAGCTCGCAAGGAGATAGTTTGACCTAGAACAAGCTTGACCCAAGAGCAAGCTCGACCTAAAGTCAGTTCGATTCAGAGTAAGTACGACGCAGGTGAAGCTCGTCATAGCGATCAACCCAAACGGCTATTCAACGAAATCAAAGATAAACTCGAATCTCGGATATTTTGGAGGGGATATTAAACCCTTGGATTATAGTGGATGTTGTGCGTGATTTTTGCCATAAAAGCTCGTAGATCTCGGAAGCTTGCAGAGAGATAGTTCAACCCAGAACAAGCTCGACCTAAAGTCAGTTCGATTCAAAGTAAGCCTGACCTAGGTGAAGCTTGCCATGGCAATCAACCCAAACAACTGTTTAATGAAATCAAAGATAAACTCGAAGCTTGGATATTTCGGAGGGATCAGACCAACATTACTGGCAACTCAATCCCAGGGCACAATCACGAAGATCACAGGATTGTAAACCAACTCTGATTGCAATCCCGAACTTATCTCTCCCCATTAATTTCAAACTTGTATATAAACTCCCTAAAACAATGAGAGACGGGTTAGCAGATTTATTCAGGCATTCTATATTGTTCTTGTAATTACTCAAAAGCAATAAAATAATAGTGGATATAGGCTCAAGTTCTAACTTGCCGAACCACTCTAAAAACCCTTTGTGTTCTTTATGTTATTAGACATTTTTTACATTCAATTGCTGTTATCTTTAATCACACACACATCAGTTTAAATTTCATCAAAGTCAATCGGTTTTCGTAGGTTGGTGCGAATTTCGTATGAACAGTGGATGAAAATTTTAAGCCAGAAAATTAAATTAAAATATTCATATCAGTTAAAAAATCAAATTACTTAGTTATATATTAACCCATTGGTATTCAATTTCTAATTTCTAATTACTATTGTTAATGGTGATAAAAGAATTCTTGAATTTTTTTTAAAAAAAAAAAAAATGTAAACCAAGGATTTCCCTGTTCCAACGTAATTGGAATTCATCCATGGAAACACTGAGACATAATTGAACCAATGCCTGAAACACAAGCCACTAACAAAGAAAAACTCAAGCTGGCATAAACCACAGCAACAAATGCACCAAAGTGACTCCCCAATGCTTTGGTTGCAAGACCAGTAAAGCTCACCTCTTCAACCCCGTCCTCTTCCATGGCTGCAAAAGTCAGCTCCGCAACCAGAATGATTGACGAAATAACATAAACCCAAGACAGAAGAATAGCCATACTTGAAGGAAGTGAGCCTGATCTTATTGTTGCAGCCGGCAATCCCAATTTGCCGGGCCCTACAGCTGTACCAATGATCAAACTAACAGCACCCCGGAAACTCTTCTCCTTCACTCCTTGTGTCTCCTGAGGTTTCTGTTGCATGACAAGTTCATCATCATTATTATCATTAAAATGTGGAGAAACAACTGGGAGAGAAACAATGTTGCCTTTAGCGGTGCATTTTGTAACGGAAATGAAATGATGAGTCTTGTAATTTCTGGTGAACAATGTAGGCTTATTGAGCCGTGGTGGTGTGTGAGAAATGGGGTGTTTTTGAAGGTGGTTATTAAGGTGAAATGGATTAAATCTTGCTGGTGAAACAGAAAGAAGCATATTGGAGAAGAAAGATGAATTTGAGTAGATCACTTGCAACAAAATTCTGTATGTGTTTTTGAGATTCTGGTAGTTGACAAATAAGATTGCCAGAGCCGCCAGACTAACCAGTAGAAGCTGAAGATTCTAAGGTTTTATTGTCAATTTGTGAGTTATTTTCCTGGAGTAAACGACTTCTTTCCACCCAAATAATAAACTTTCATAAAATTTTAAACATCCAATGGATAAAACTTGTATCAAATATATAGAATTTGAATTAATAAGAAAGATAAACAACTTAAAAACCATTCGACTAACGTGTTACTAAATAAATAAAATTTTAACATTTTGGTATTTCTATCATTTTAGTTTTAATTAACAGTTTCGATCCACGTCTGTTGAAACAAAGGGAGGGTTTTTAGTATCTGAAACAACAAAAACCAAGACATAGCAAACTGAAACGGCCCTGTTGATTAATTTATAAGTATTTCTCTTTAGGTCATCGGGCTTAATTAACACATTACAAGTCCAATGGACCAGGTAAGCAAGGTCGGCTCAAGGGGTAGACAGACTAGGCACTTGTCTAGGCCCCCCCAAAAATAGGGTAAAAAAGGGTCCAATTTTTTTTTAATATATTACAAAAATAACAAGACTCAAATTTATTATAAACTTTTTACATATATTTCCATCCAAAGTTTGACAAAATAGCAAGTTTGTACCTCTAGTTTCATATATTCCAATTTACACCATTAAATTAACATATTGAATTTCTTTTAACAATGAAAGGCTAAAATGGTCATTTACAAATCTCAAATTACTCACCCCCAATTCAATCCCAAAATTCGACATTTACATAAATCATCCCCATCCCTTTTTCGCTGTCGGCCGTTTGAAGTTGATTCCGATCGATTTTCTCACCAAAATTGATCGGAATCATCACTTTATCATTTCTCAAGTGTTTTTCCAACCTTGATAACCCTTGATTTGACCAATTTTTTACGAATCTCGCAACCTAACTCCACCACTCGCGACAGCCATTTCCGACCTTTTCGGCATGAACCCGACGTTGTTAGCCTTCCTCGACACCACCATCTTCCTCCCCTCAGTCCTCTCACCAAAACCCTTATCATACCTCATCTGTTTACTCTACCAATTGCCGGCCACCGATACCTTTTGGGCTGGGATTTCTCGAGCTTTTTCCAATTGCTAGCATTGCAAATCACCCATTTTACCAACCATCGCTTCTCTAGCATCTGCTCTCCAAAACCCCCACCAGCCTGACCCTGTTAGCCCGTCGATCGTCATCTACCTCTCCTAGTGATTTTACATCTTAGAAGGTAAGAAAAATAAATTTGAAATAATATTTTTAATATATGTTTATATTATTAGAAAGCCTCCAAGATAACTTTTGTTTAGAGTCATAAATGTT